TGTTGTTGTTTCTCCTTTGTGTTATTTAAATTTTGAAACTATTTGAATGAAGTTATTGGTTTCATATTAAACCACAGGTTTTGTTTTCCTTTTTTTTGTAGCCAGCTCAGCTTGACTTCAGGGCTCAGATTGCATAGCATGTGGTGCTGGAGATGGAACCACTGTCCTTGCACTTGCCTAAATTTGCCAAAGCAGATGCTTTTTTCACTAAGCTATCTCACCAGTCACCAAACCAGAGATTTTTTACATGACATGAAAAAGTATTTTGAGAAAGAATTCACTTTATGGATGAAAAACAAGCACAGAGAATCACTTAAGTCCTTCAGAAGAGATAAGTTTGAGTACAAATTTACCTCAGCTTTCAAACTGCTCTTCAGCTCACAAAAGGTTTAGTTTTGCAAATCAAAAAGAGGACAATGCATACTGCCATTAAGCTGTCTAATTGTGGTATACCTTGGAGAAGTATTTATTTTCCCCAACAATATCATCTGGAAATAAATTTCAAGAAGATGGATTTGAAAAATATACTAATATTTTCACCATTTTTAGGTAGTCCTACTGACATATCTGCAGGGTAGGGTGGCACATGCCTGTACTAGCAGCACTCTGGAGCTGAGGCAGGAATATTGTGATTTTGAGATCAGCCTGGGCTACAAAGTGATGTCAAGGCCACTCTGAAGTCCAGAGTGAGACCTTGTCTCAGAAAGTTGAGAAACAAATAAACAAAGAAAGACTGACATACCAGACTATGGTTTTCAAGACCATGAAGGGCTAGTAGGGCACATGCTTCAAATACAACTTTTATTATCACCTTGTAGAAAGAAAAATAAAAAGTGAAAAAGCTTATTGAGATTTTCATCTAGAATTTGTAAAATTTATCGTAAAAGTACGAACAACGTGGCAGTTGTACACGTCTTTACAAAAAGAATTTACACAAGCTTGGTGTGCTGGCCCACATCTACACATCAAGGCCAAGGGACGCTGAGGCAGCAGGATCACCACGAGTTTGAGGACATCTTGAACTACATAATGAGTTCAATTCTAGCCTAAAGTATGCAGGGAACTCAAGTCTAGCTCAAGCTATATACAAAGACCCACCCTCAAAAGCATTATAGAATCTCCTCTTCCACATATTACAGGCACTTGGGTTAGATTGAAAGTAATGAAAACCAGAAAGGGACATGGCTCTCAGGGAAATCACTGAATAATACAGATTCCAGAGTTTTGACTGAAAGAACAGCTAAATAAGGAAAGGCCTCCAGATAAAGTCACAGGGCCTAGGTTTGCATGCTTCCCTAAGGGATGAGCAGAACGTGACACCACAGTGTAATGAGTACTACCCAGGCCCAGGCCCTTAAGCCCAGATACGCATCAGACACCCTGCTGAGTGACCGGGACCAAGGCCTTCGCAAAAATGTTCCTGTTTCAGAAGTAACAGATGAACGAAGGTCAATCATATCAGCCATCTCTCTTTGCTACGTGTCCCACTTCCCAACTGGGTCACCATTAGCTAAGTGGCCATACTTGGAATCATCTAGCTTCACTGTAATTTGACCCACGTGGTATGCACATTGTGACATTTCTGTGTGCAACAGCCCTGAAAAAGAGCCTCTTGATTCCCCCTGGCACTCCTTCTATCTATCAAGACTACTATCTCTCAATGAACCATTTTACTCTTAATCTTATTTGTCTCTTGGCATTGATTTTATTTATTTACTTATTTACTTATTTATTTACTTTGAGCAACATGAACTTCACTTGTTGTATATCTGGAAGGTTAGGCATTTTATTTCTCATATATCTCTGTCTCTCTGTTTCTTGTATATTTTCTTGCCATATTGATGGTAAGACAGCAATCACAATAAAAAGATCAGATACCAAGTGATCTAAATGTCTAAAATCACTTTGTAGTTCTACCAAAATAGTGAAAAAAGTGTTTGCAGTCATGGAAGTACAGTAAGGTTTCAGTCAGAAACCTTAAATGATTAAAGAGAAAGAAATTTTTTTAATTAAGTAATTAATTATTTGGTAAATGATCTCACTACACAGTTCAGCCTTTTAGTAATCTGCCTGTTTCACCCTCCCTTGCACTGGGATTGCTGGGATATGCCACCACACCTGGATTCTGTGGGCAGCATGGCAAGCTCGGGAACCTGGTGCTGGCACAGCAAGCAGTACCTGGTCCTTGTGCTTCCCAGGCAGGTGCTTAGACCATTGAGCTATCTCAGCAGCCAGAGGAAAAGATTTTATTTTATATTTTTTAAATTTTTAATTTTTTATTAATTTTATTGAGAAGCAAATAGTAATGAGATTATTTTTTATTTTTTATTAATTTTATTGGGAAACAAATAGTAATGGGAAAAAGATTTTAAAAAATAAACACAATCCATATAGGTTTGACATAAACTAATTTTTAAAAGAAACAATCTAAAGATTAAGAGTAATTTTTTTTGATAAGTTCCAAATTAGAGAGCAGATTCATTTTATAAGATAGTAACTGCAAAATTCAAAACCTAAGAGTTTACTTTCAAGGCAATAAGAAATAGGAAACAAATAGTGTGTTTAAAGTGAAATGCCAAAAAAAATGAGATAGTTGTTATTTACCTGATAAGATGACCTACTTCTGTCACTTGGGTGTAAGGTGACTGACATGTGACTTTAACACTTTTTTGTTTCCTTTGGGGCACTGAGATGCATGTTCCCCCATTTCACAATAAATATTTAAATTTAGAAGACCAAAATTCATATGCTATGAGGTAATATGAGAGCAGCAAGATCATAAGAGGGTGAATTGATAGTATCATTTTGTTAAATAAATTTCCAACATCTAGGAGGGCTACAAGAAAGTTGCATATGACACAGCTACTTACCTCAGGAAAAATGAATTAAAAAAAAACTTCGTCCATAAGCGTATTGTGGTTCAGTTTAAACTGAATGTGCCTTAGAAGGTGCAGCCTGATGGGACACGATGGCTCACGGGGTTGTGACGTGAGGAGGACATTTCAGTGCACCTGTGCAACTTCTCTGCCCCACTTTCTGCTCCTGGCTGCCACACTGAACAGTTTCCTCTTCTAATGCCCTTGGCCATACTGGATTTGCCCAGAATCACACAACTGTAACTCAGTTCTCTGAATCCATCACACAAACTAAGTCTTTTGTCCATAAATTGTACCTGTCTTGTTTCAGCCTCCATAAAGTGACCAATACTCCACTTCTATTCCAATATAGAACTGAAAGTCCTAGTCAGAAAAATCTAAGCTAGAAAATGAAATAGTTGGTCTCTACACAAGAAAGAAGTAAGTACAATTTTTTCTGTTTGCTGTTAACATCTTCTAACTCATAGAAAACCCTAGGACTATACTGAGACACATCACTGGTAAACAATGCAAGTAAAGATGCAGCATACAAAATCAACTAGAGAAACTAATTGCTTTTCCAAATACTAGCCATCTAAGAAACATTAAGAAGAAGCCCACTTGGAACAGCATGAAAAGAAAGATATTCTTAGGAATAAATTTAATGAAGAATATAAAAGATTTTCACATTAGAAATAGTAAGATCCAAATGAACAGATAGCTGACGATATTCACAATCAGAAGAATCAATGTTGTCACACTACCCATACAACCCAAAACAATGTAGATGGTCAATGCAGTTTCTCACCACGCCAATAGCATTTTACACCTGGAAAAAGGAAAGTTGTAAAATTTGCATGGAAACAGTGAAGACTTGAAATAACTAAGGAATCTTGAGCAAGGATAAAGATGAAGGTATAACACTTGTGATTTTATAGTGTATTACAAAGCTCAGCAATGAAGACAGTATCCTGCTGCCAGAAAAGATAGATACCCACCAATGGAACATGGCAGCAGTCCCAGAATAAAAACCCTTCTTATATGACCAACTAATGCTTAGAAAAGGCACCAATAATACTCCAAGGGAGAATTAGTTAAATTGGATAGATACAAACTAAAACTAAACATCTATGGGATCTTTATCGGACATCATGCACAAAATTCAACCACAAGTGGATTAAAACTTCAAACAAAAGACACCAAAGTATAAAATGCCTGGGGAAAAAAAAAGCAGTAACAATGCTCCCTTCCACTGTAGTTGGAGACAATTTTTTGGGTATGACACCAAAATCTCAGGCAGCTAAAGCAAAGGAAGCACATGGCACTGCATGCAGATAAAGACTCTGTACTGCAAGCAAATACAAAGTTTTCACACTGCGTAGAAAAGAACTCAATGTAAAGTCAGCTGTCAAAATGAGAGGAAAAGCTCCTGCAAATCAACTCCTTATTCATAGGGATTAATATTCAAAATATAGGAAATGAAGTTAGTGCAAGACAAAAACCCTATAAAATTTGCAGATGAACAAAAAGAAATATAGATTATAGATCAATTAGAAGTGCTCAAAGGACTTAAGAGACTGAGGCAAGAAGATTCTTAGACTTTGAGGCCGCCCTGAGCTACATAGCTTGTTCAAAGTCAGCCTGAACTCCATGGCGAAATCCTGTCTCTAGCGAAAAGCAAGAAAGGGGGGGAAAAAAAAAAAGGTAAAGGTGTTGGAGCATTTTCCTTCAGGGCAGGGTCTTCCCTGCAGTCTCTTTTCTCCAGGGGTGGTGGTGCAGGGACAGGTGAGGGAAGGAGGCCTGCAGCACTTCTTACTGGGGTTGGCCTCACTCTGAGATCCTCCAACCAGAAAACACCAGAGAAGCAGGCCACGCCTGTCCCTGCCTCTCCCCCACCCTCTCCTCCGCCCACCTCTCCGTTTTCTACCCCCTGCCTCCTCTTGTAGCCAGCACTCAGAGCCCACACTGCGAACCTGCGACTCAGGTCTGCAGACAACTAAGAGCAGGTGAGGAGCTGCACAAATACTGCTCTCCAACCACCAGCGTGATCTCCAGGGTCTGCAGCGTGGTCTCCTGGGCCAGCAGTGCCTTCAGCACCTCGGCTTCCCCACCACAGCATCCAGGCCTTGGTCTAGCAGCTTCACCATGAACTGCTTTGGAATCTACAGGAGAGAACGCAAGGGCGAGGACGAGGACCTGTGTGAGGTGTGGAGGACACACAGACAGCAGAAGGACGACAAGCAGTTCTATTGGGCCACCCACCGCCTGCTGCTGCTGGGACCTGTGGGATCTGGCAAAAACACCCTTTTCAATCAAGTAAAGATGCTGCAAGGACCAGAGTGTGATGCGGTTAGGGAGCAGGCCTCTGCCGTGCAGAAAGTCAGAAACACGCTGAAGGAAGCAATTGAAAACGTCCTGGTGGCCATGAGCAGCCTACAGCCCCCTGCAGAGCTGGCCCTTCCTGAGAACAAGCTCAGAGTGGACTACATCCTGGGCATCAGGGATGAGCCCAGCTTCAGTTTCCCACCTGAGTTCTTCGAGCACGCCAAGGCTCTGTGGAAGGATGAGGGCTTGCGCTCTTGCTATGAGCGCTGCATGGAGACTGGGCTGCTGGAGAGCTCCCGCTACTTTCTGGACAAGATCGATGTCATCAAGAAGCCTCACTATAAGCCCAACCCCGAGGATCTCTTTCGCTGCCGCCTCCACATCCCCAGAATCTTTGATACCAAGTTCCAAGTGGACGAAGTGAACTTCCACGTGTTGTACCCAGACGGATTGTACTACATTAACCAGGTATGGGGCCAGTACCTCTGTAACTTCACTGCCATCATCTTCGTGGTGGACAGCAGCAGCTACGACCAGAATTTCATGGGAACCAACAGATTGCAGGAGGCTCTGAACACTTTCAGGTCCCTCTGGCGCAGATGTCCCCAAACCTTCCTTGTGTTTCTCTTCCTCAACAAGCAAGATCTGCTGGCTGATAAAGTCCTTGCTGGGAAGTCCAAGATCGAGGACCACTTTCCAGAATTTGCTCAGTACACTACTCCTGATAGTGCTTCTCCTAAGCCTGGAGAGGACCCCCGCGTGACCCGGGCCAAATGCTTCATCCGCGACAAGTTTCTGAGCATCACCAGCACTGGTGCCAGTGATGACTGCTACTGCTATCCTCAATTCACCTGTGCTGTGGACCATCGGAACATCCAGAGGGTGTTCAGAGAGTGCACCCAGCTGGTCCAGCACACACGTGAAAGAAGGAGCTACTCTTAAAAGTGAACTGCGCTTTAATTAATGCTTAAGGTCAATTAATTTTGTAAAATTCAGGTCATTTTTATAATTTTTTTCTGTACATGATATATGTTGATTTCTCTTTTTAAACATCCCATTCCCGGGCCTTTTCAAACCACCTTGCCTTCCATGTTCAGAAAGCTTGGGTTTCGTTTTACCATTTTTTCCTGCTTTTACCCTTTAGTCCCCTGCCTATTTCCCTTTTCCTTTTGAACAGTTTTCTCCTATTCTGTCTATCAATTGTACATTTGTGCTCTTATGCACATTTTAAGTTTTTCACACCAGAGATATAATGTGATATTTACTTATGTGTGTCTGATTTACTTCACGATGATTATGGTCTCAAGATAATTTATCAATAAATATCTCAATTTTAACTTTCCTTATGCCTGAATCATTCTCCATTGTAGGAAGATTTTTTAAAAAAATGTACGTCTTCATTATGCATTTGTTGGTTTGGTGGCATTTGGTTTCTTCTGGAATTTACGTGTTACAAACTGAGTCCCTGTCAACAGGGCTGTGTATATTTCACTATCTGATGCTTTTAATTATTCTGGGAAGATGCAGAATAATGTAATAAATTCAATTATTTTAAAGGTATAGAAGAAATTGAGATGGGTGAGAGGTGTTGTTTTCAATACCTAGAAGAAAAACGATGCAACAGAGGACACATTATTTGTAGGTGTATTCTACCATAGTTATCCAAAAAGTATAGTATAAAAGATTTCAGGGAATCAGTCCACATGGTGAAGAACCTGAGAATCCACATGAAGACCTGCAATACCCTAAAGCCTATGACAATGTCTTGTGCAGGTTTGTTTGAGTTTTGCACAGGTGAAACCCACAGGTGAATTCCACCCATTGGAGGAATCTACAAAATTTATGCCAGGAGAGTGAGAGATATGGTTATCAGGTTGAGGTATATGCAGTAGAACCTGGAAGTGACACTAACAGTCAGAACCAGAAGTCCTGCAAATGGTACCAAAGGCACTATCATTATAGCAAGTTCCCAAGGTCCTATGACACTGAGAGCAGCCAACTATGTAGCAGGAATGCCTACCCACTAATCTTCTCTAGGATACTGAACAGTGCAATGTCTTCTATAGGGAGGCAGGAAACAATGCTCACAGTAAGGAATAGAGCTTCCCCGACTTGGACCACTGCCATTCTCACTGACAAGAAGGATCAAGGGTTTTTTAACAATGAGAAGAGCTGAGTTTCTATCAGGAAAGACAGCCTTGATCCATCCCCTTCTACAAGAAAACTTGTTTTAGAAGTGATAGATAAACCAGGATTCATCATGTCAGCCACTACCCTTGCTACATTCCCTGCTTCCCAACTTGGTTAACATCAGCTGTGTGTAAGCCTGTACATGCACTGGAGTTTGATCTCTATTGTGCACACTTTGTGACTTTGATGAATACAGTTCCTGTGATGATTGCCCTCTGTCCCCACCTGTTAGAGACCCCTACATCTCACAACCACCCACTTCTCACTAAACCATTCCTACTGTTAACCTGGGTTGTTCCTTGGAATTCATTATTTGACCTCAGATTCCATAGACATGTGTTATATCGAAAATATTGCCAATTATATTTCTCTTGCATCATTTGAGAGGTTCCACCATGATAATTTGAAGCAGGCAAGAATTTGCTTTTATTTCATGGCATTTCCAAATATTTTCTCTTGATTCTGGATTGCAAATCATTGAAGTTGGCAAAACTGTCATCTGTTGTTTGCTTGTTGCTTTTGACTTTTATGACTGCTAAAGCAGTGTTAAAAGTTAAGAGCTGAGGAACTTGTGATGGATTTATTTTTGGCTTTCTTCAACAGGACTTTTTTATTTTTCTAGGCAGGACCTTTAATTGTTGTTTCCATATAGCTGGACTGAGACTTACTTCTACAGTATTTGCTGGATTTTCCTCTATTTTTTTCCTGTCTTGTTTGATGTCATTACATGGTTTGCTCTTCTCTTTTAGACAATGTAGTGGAGTGGCTGTTTTAACTTTCAATTGTTTTGCAGTTTGCACAGATATGTCTGAAGATTCAGCCAAAGGCTATGGGACAGGTTGTGGGAGTTCACCTCTGTTGGACATGACTGTTATTAGTGAGCCAAGAAATGTTAATGTGTTTCTGCCTGTGTTCCTGAAAAAGCATTTTTTGCCTTTATAATTGGAAGTTACTGAAGCTGTAGAAAAGTTGTGCCCATCCATAAGAGAAGCAAAGCTAGGCATTCCTTTCACCCTGCATAACCCCAATGTCTAGGGTTGAGAGAATCAGAACCAATGCTCATCCAAGAAGGCACACATGAGGGTTTTAGGTGAACTGCTGCTTGGTTAGAGGCTTCTCATGTGGCAGTCTGGAGAGGCTCCATTAGGTTCTCTGAAGATTCATCTAATTTTTAGCTTTGCAATGGAGCTTGAGTCAATGGTAACTTTTTAAGTTGGAGACAGGTTTTGCAAAAGACTGGAGACCTACCCTAGGAAAGCCTTTTGTTGGATTATCTTTCTTCCCTTGAGATGAGTAGGATCAGTTCTTGATCCATGCGCAGAGTCACTACTCTGTCACTTCCTACTGCCCTGCCACTGAGCAATAACACAATTTATCACAGCAGTGTTTTATGCTGGCAATTCTCTTTCCTTTGGCGACTGCCTACCAGGACCAAGTTTCCAGAATGGCATGCTTCTTCCTCCTTGCTCTCCTTTCAGTAGCTGCTGTACATACATCCCTGAGTTATGTGCAGAAAAGCTCAACCAAATGTTTTCCTCAAATGTTTGAAGAACAAATGTAAAAGTTTTAGTCTCAATTTATCAGTCTTTCCTTTCTTAGGTGGAACTGGAGATGGACTCTTCTCCCTTCAAAAATGCAGCTCCATGACCTAAACTGACTGTTTTTTACAATAGAGGGAAGTTCACTGATTGCATTTTCTGTCCAAATACCCTTACATATTTGGACAGAAACAGGTTCCAATGTCTGATTATAGTCTCAGTCCCTAGAGGATTGCCTCTCTCCTGTCATCATTTCTCTCCAGAATGTCTTGACAGCCCTGGTGCCATTGTGGGAGAGATGCTAAGTAAGGCTCTAAAAAATGAAAGCCTACTGATCAGTTTGGTCCATGGGTCACAGGTAGGCCATGATGGAGGCCCAGGTGTACAATAGGAGAGACTAAGGCAGTTTGGCCTCTTCCTGGAACTTGCAGGTCACTTCCACTGCCTCTTGGAGGTGTTAAATCTAAGGGCTTTAGATTGGGAGCAAGAGATAGATAAGGGTACATTTTTCCCTTTGTTCCTTTTAAAAAATAGGAGAAACCACTATTTGTAGCATTGCAAATTGGAGACCTACCAGACTTTTTGTCCCATTCTTAGCACACATACTTAGCTCAAAAGACTGTCCTCTAAACTCTTCCTAGATCCTGCCAGACTTACTCATTCCTTTGAAAATAAAATAGGTGACAAAATCTTGTATGATCTGTCCCTGTAAAGGAAACTTTTGTCTATGGCAAGCAAACAGCAGGTTTGGCCATCAGCTGTGTGTACTTAATAGTGGGTACTGAAACAGCAGGAAGTCTGTGTAGGTGGCTGTTCCAGTCAGATAAAGTGTAAAGAAATAATACCTAGGGGCCGGGAAGATGGCTTGGTAGAATAAACGCTTCCCTGGCAAGTGCAAGGGCCTGAGTTCAATCCCTGGTTTCACACACACACACAAAATAAAAAAACAAACAAACAAACCAAAGACCAAAAAACCAAAAACCCCTATAATATAAAGTATTTAAATGTTTTGCCTTGTTTCTCATGAGTCATAAAAGCAATTGTTAAGATATATTTAAGTGAGTTATAATTCTAGGGTTAAGTATTCTATGTCTATAGTGATAAGGTTTCCTTAACTTATGGTAATGTTTCTGGCTAAGCTTACAAAACAAGACTTAAAAGCAAAGGTTCTGTGAAGAGACTTAGAATAGAAAAGCAATTCTGGGTTACAGAGGCAAGGCACAAAGCATCACAATCCCTGACTGGAAATTGTACTGCAGAGCTACTGTGATCAAAGCAGCATTGTGCTGACCAAAGCAAAGCAAAGAAAACAAATAAACACCCCCCCCAAACCTGAGGATTAGGGGAGTAGATTAGAAGATACAGACACAACGATAAATAAACTGAGTCACCTTATCTTTAATGAAGGGGACAAACATGTTCACTAGAGGCAAGACAGACTCTTTAATAAATCAATCTTGAATAACTGAAGGTCTACATGCCAAAGACTAAAAGTAGACCCATGCCAGTCACCACACACTTCTCTCAAGTCAAGATGGATCTTTGTTGGATCTGGTTGTTAGTGTGTCAGGAAATGCTAATGTGCTTCTCTCTGCAATTTCTCTTTCCAATTGGAAGGCTCTGAACCTGCAGAAACACAGTGCCCATAGCTAAGAGAACCAAAGGTAGGCAGTTAACTATAGATCTAACTATTAAAATAGGAACACTGAATCTATTTGTTATGGTTTATGTCTAATTGACCCCCAAAGCCTCATGCCATCATGAAGCAGACCTCTAAAGTTTGTGATTAACTCATTATCCACTGGGATTATGGGTTTGAGTACTTCCCCCAGCCTGGGGTGGATAGCTTGAATGCAATTTATGGGAGACAGACTTACTCTGCTGCCATTGCTGCTGCTGTTCCTGCCTTTGGCTCTTGCTCTTATGCTGTTTTCCGCTGCCATGAACTGCTGGCCTCTGCCATGTGCCCGACTGCCTTGGAGCCAGCTGAGTGTGGACTGAAACCTCCCATAACTGTAAACCTATCCTTCCTTCATTTTGAGTGTCAGTTATTTGTCCAAGCAATAATAAAAGAGTAACTGAGACACTACCCAAAGGAAAAAAAGTAGGTAGTAACCTTGAGGAAATAGGTGTAGGCAGAGATTTCATGAACAAAACTTAAATTGCCAGGGAAATACTCTAAAGAACAAACAAGTGGGATCTCGTCTTATTCTA